AGAGCACAGTCTAAATGTCTTACTCCTGTTTGGAGTGCCTTTTGTGTCTTTCTCTTGGATACCTTTTTTTCTGAGATGAGTCTTGCTCTGTTGCCCAGGCTGGAGTACTGTGGCGTGATCTCAGCTCACTGCAGCCTCTGCCTCCCAGGTTCAAGCAATTCTCTGCCTCATCCTCCTGAGTAGCTGGGATTACAGGCACCTGCAACCACGCTTGGCTAATTTTTGTATTTTTAGTAGAGACCGGGTTTCACCATGCTGGCCAGCCTGGTCTTGAACTCCTGACCTCATGATCCACCCGCTTCAGCCTTCCAAAGTGCTGGGATTACAGGTGTGAGCCATCACGCCTGGCTGGTTATTTCTATATATGACCATCATTTTCCTTTCTTTTCTTCTTTTCTTTCTTTTTATTTGAGACAGGCTCTTGCTCTGTCGCCCAGGCTGGAGTGCAGTGGTGCAGTCACTGCTCACTGTAGCCTCGACATCCCAGGTTCAAGTGATCCTCCCAACTCAGCCTCCCAAGTAGCTGAGACTATGCCTGGCTAATTTTTGTATTTTCAGCAGAGACAGGGTTTTGCCATGTTGCACAGGCTGGTCTTGAACTTCTGTGTTCAAGAGATCTGCTTGCCTCGGCACTACAAAGTGTTGGGATTATAGACATGAGTCGTGGTGCCCAGCCTGACTATTTTCTGTATACACACATTTACAATGCTTCAAAACAAAAAATCAGGGCACGATATAACCACTATTTTGCAATCTTTTGATAACTTATTTTGCAAAAAATTTTGATAAATTATTTTGCAAAATATTTGATAATACATTGGGGGCATCTTTTCATGTGTGCATATAAAGAGCTAATAGTCTATTTTTATTTCATTTTTATTATTTATTTATGTATTTATTTTGAGACAGGATCTCACTCTGTAACCCAGACTGGAGTGCAGTGGCATGAACATGGCTTACTGAATCCTCAACCTCTCTGGCCCAAGCAATCTTCCCATCTCAGTCACCAGTAGCTGGGACTTCAGATGTGCACCACCACACCTGGCTAATTTTTGTATACTTTGTAGAGATGAGGTTTCACCATGTTGCCCAAGCTGGTCTCGAACTTTTGGACTCAAGCCATCTGCCCACCTCTAGCTTTCCAAAGCACTGGAATTATGGGCGTGAACCACCATGCCAGCCTATTTTTAATTTTTATCAAGTGGAGAAAAAATTAACAAGAATAGAAACAACCTGGATACTATTATTGACAATTTTAATGTGATAGATTTAGAATCTTATATTCTACACAAATATATTGAAAACTTTGTATCCGACATTGTTTATAAATGCCTATAGGACATTTAGAAAAACTGGCTAAATGACAAATGTTACAAAATTCCAAAAGGAAAAGAGTTCGCGTAGGACATTTGACCATAATTTATTAAAACTAAAAAAATTAAATATCTAAACATGGGGATATATTTTAAAAATTCTAGATTATCCTTGGCCTGAGTATATAAACAAATACTCCTAATATTAAAGAATAATGTGCTGTGTTCATAAACATTTTATAGGAATGTAAAATTAGATAAATGTTAAGAAATGTAACAATGCAATTTTTACACTAAATAGATTAAAGAAAAAAAGCCATATTCTAGAGGCTAAGAGGGAATTTGATACAGCCATTCTAAATTTTAAAATCTTGATTAAATAGAAATGGAATGGAACTTTAATACAAAAATAAATATACAAATGAACAAAGACCAATAAAGCCAGTTCCATGAAAGTCAAGAGTGAGATAATGATGCCCACCACCCTTAATATTTCATGAAGACTATTCTAAAAGGTATAATCAATGCAATATCACTTTATTTTTTTTGAGATGGAATCTCACTTTGTTGCCCAGGCTAGCATGCAGTGGCTCAATCTGAGCTCACTATAACCTCTGCCTCCCGAACTCAAGCGTTTCTCTTGCCTCAGCCTCCCGAGTAGCTGGGATTACAGGTGCGTGCCACCATGCCCAGCTAATTTTTTTTGTATTTTTAGTAGAGACAGGGTTTCACCATGTTGGCCAGGCTGGTCTCAAATGCCTGACCTCAAGTGATCCACCCACCTCAGCCTCCCAAAGTGTTGGGATTACAGGCGTGAGCCACCATGTCTGGCAATATGACATTTTGGAAAGGGAGAAACAGAATTATCATCATTTGCAGATGATAGGATGTTTACCTAGAAAATCTAAGAGAAATTGCCCAAGAGTATGATTAGAATTTAAATAATTCAGTCAAGTGATCAGATAAAAGGTAAATACATTGAAGAAGTCATTTATTCATTAGCAATAATGAATCAGAAAATAAAGTGAAAAATTGTGATTCAAAAAGCAAGTAGGCTAATCATTCAAAAAGCAAGCAGGTTAAAAAGCACAGTTCCTGGTAGACAGGATGTTATAGAAGTAAGCTGTAATAATCTTAGTTATTGATTTTATAGATTTTTAGGGGTGAAATTACTGAGACAAAAGATACAAACATTTTTAAGCTTCTTGATGCATATATTCAAATTATTCTTTTAACTTCTTTTTTTTTTTTTTTTTGAGATAGAGTTTCACTTTTGTTGCCCAGGCTGGAGTCCAATGGCCTGATCTCTGATCACTGTAACCTCCATCTCCTGGGATTAAGTGATTCTCCTGCCTGAGCCTCCCCAGTAGCTGGGATTACAGGCATGCACCACCATGCCTGGCTAATTTTTGTGTTTTTGGTAAGAGGGAGTTTTACCGTGTTGGTCAGGCTGGTCTTGAACTCCAGACCTCAAGTGATCCACCTGCCTCGGCCTCCCAGAGTATTGGGATTACAGGCATGAGCCAGCATGCCCAACCTGTTTTAACTTTTAATTGAAGTATAACATGCATATAGACACTTTGGGAGGCTGAGGCGGGTGAATCACTTGAGGTCAGGAGTTCAAGCCCAGCCTGGCCAACATGGTGAAATTTCACCTCTACTAAAAACACAAAAATTAGCCGGGCATGGTGGTGGGCACCTGTAGTCCCAGCTACTTGGGAGTCGGGGGCAGGAGAATTGCTTCAACCTGGGAGGCAGAGGTTGCAGTGAGCCAATATCAAACCACTGCTCTTTAGCCTAGGTGACCGAGCAAGACTGCCTTGAAAAAGAAAAACAAAACAAGATAAAACAAACAAACAAAAAAAACCCATGGAGATAGAAAAGCCATGCATATAGAAAAAATGTGCATATACAAAGCTGGTCATCAGTCCACAGATCAAGAAAGAACCTTTCTAGTACCCCAAGAACCCTTCGTATGTCTCCTTCTATTCCCTGGCCATCTTCCTCCCCAGAGTGTTTCTGACTTTAACAACATACTTTAACAACATTGCCTGTTTTGCACTTCATAAGAATAGAATCATACATATGTACTCTTTTGTGTTTGGATTCTCTTGCTCAGCATTATGTTATTAAGATTCATCCCTCTTTGCTCAGGTGGTTGTAGGTTACTTGTATTGCTGTATATTATTTCATTGTATAAATAGACCACAATCTTCTATTCTTTTGTTGATGGGCATTTGGGTAGTTTTCAATTTGGGGCTATTACAGAGTGCTGCTTTGGAGGTCATATGGAACATTTTGAACCCAGCACTGCTATGGTATCTCGAAGAGCAGTGACTTTTAGCATATTGGCTTATAGTCTTCTGGACTATAGATACTGGATATTCATAGTGGGTCCTGTCAGCAGTGGCAGTGGCATAGCAGCACCCTTAAATGGCTTCATGAGTAGAGGGCAATGAAAAGAGGGAACCAGAGCAAAAAAGGAAGAAAAAGATGGATGCTGTATGAAGGACTATGACTGACAGACTGGTTCATGAGCCTAGTGAGACAAACCTGTTTTGAACTCCGGGCTACTGGCTACTGATAGGAATATAATTTTAAATTAGAACTACAACCAATAGAGTTCTGGAAACATCTGAGTTGCCCCCTTTTTAAACTTATATTTTAAGTTCAGGGGTACAGCGGGGATATGTTATATAAGTAAACCTATGTCATGGGGGTTTGTTGTACAGATTATTTCATCACCCAGGTATTAAGCCTAGTATTCATTAGTTATTTGTCCTGACCCTCTCCCTCCTCCCACCCTCCACCCTCTAATAGGTCCCAGTGTCTGTTGTTCCCCTCTATGTGTCCATGTGTTTTCATCATTTAGCTCCCACTTATAAGTAGGAACATGCAGTATTTGGTTTTCTGTTCCAGCATTAGTTTGCTAAGGATAATGGCCTCCAGCTCCATCCATGTTCCTGCAAAGGGCATGACATTGTTCTTTTTTATGGCTGCATAGTATTCAATGAGGGATATGTACCATATTATTTTATCCAGTCTACCATTGATGGGCATTTATGTTGATTTCATGTCTTTGTTATTGAGAATAGTGCTTCAGTGAATGTACACATGCACATGTCTCTATGATAGACTGATTTATATTCCTTTGGGCATATACCCAATAATGGGATTGCTGAATCAAATGGTAGTTCTTTCTGTCTTTAGGTCTTTGAGGAATCGTCACACTGCTTTCCACAATGTTTGAATTAATAATTTGCACTCTTATCAACAGTGTATGTGTTCCTTTTTCTCCACAACCTTGCCACAGTCTGTTATTTTTTGTCTTTTAAATAATGGCCATTCTGACTGGTGTGAGATGGTATCTCATTGTGCTTTTAATTTCTCTAATGATCTGGACACAGGAACCAGCAAAGATTTCATGATGAAGATGCCAAAAGCAATTATAACAAAAGCAAAAATTGACAAATCGGATCTTATTAAACTAAAGAGCTTCTGCACAGCAAAAAAGCTATCAATAGAATAAAAAGACAACTTACAGAATGGGAGAAATTGTTTACAAACTATGCATCTGACAAATGTCTAATATCCAGCATCTACAAGGAACTTAGATAAATTTATAAGAAAAAGACAACCCCATTAAAAATGGGCAAAGGACATGAACAGACACTTTTCAAAAGAAGAAATACATGTGGTCAACAAGCATATGAGTTCCCTTTTTATTATTTGCTATGAGGGAACTGTGTCTTATTAGTTTTTGTGTCCCAGCACAAAGCCTGACACCGAGCAACTGCTAACAAAATATTTGTGGATTTATTTAATGAGAGTTGGGAGGAGGTGGAGAACGGAGGGTGGGGAGCATCACACATAAATGCGCATGCTTCAAATGTGATGATCTCTTCCTGATGTGATCAGACCAAAAATACAAAACAGAAACACGATCTGTGCCATGGGTCCTGGCCCTTTTTGCTTCTGCCAGTGTGTGTGAGGAGATGCAGAGGCAAATTCCGTGGCAGTTAGAAAGAGAACTGGAGGCCAAGATGGAGCGGAGGGAACATTTAACCTTAACTTTCCACAGTCCTGAGGTTCCCAAAATAAAGGGGGACCGGAGATACCAAAGGGTGAGGAGGAATCTAATTGAAAGTCAGATGGGAAGAAGAGGACTTACTTAAAGGTGGGGCTAGACAGAGCATCCTAAAGAGAGAAAAGATCACCCTGAAAATTTTGTGTGTTTTTTTTAGGAGTAGGGATAGATATTCATAAATCAAACACACATGGGAATGCTTGAAGTAGAGAAGAGTAGGTGACCTGGGGGATCAGAGGTTATCCTTTCAAGTAGGCAATATTTCCCTCATCCTTGTAGCCTACCCTCCCTGCCAACAAACATCCAAGTGCCTCGATGTCATCCCAGAGGCGGCAGCAGCATGTGGATCAGGCACACATTTACATCCGAATGCTCTGTGGCAGCCTCTGTAGTTTTAGCCTCTTAATGCTGATCAGCATGTCCCCACTGAACTGGGTGCAGTTCCTGGTGAACAGGAATGGCCTTGAGCTCTACGCAGGACTCTGGACCTTATGCAACCATGAGCTGTGCTGGAGCCACACACCCAAGCCACCCTGTGAGTGACATCAAATTAAATGCCACAGGTCCCCCACAATTCCAGAGCTTTCTGTCCACACAAATCGGCCCTTCATCCTTCTTCCTCCAAGATCTTTTGGCCTTCACCTCTCCTAGTGCAGGATGGATTTCACCCAAGTTGTCAATGTAGCCGTTTCTTTGGTATCCTCAGTGTACCCCTTTTCCTTCCTATTCCAGGTTGTTTTCAGTCCTAAATAATGGGTTATACTCTCTTTACTCTATGGGAAGAACAGTTTGTTTGTTTGTTTTTAGAGACAGGGTCTTGCTCTATCACCTAGCCAAAGTGCAGTAGCGCTATCATTGCTCACTGCAGCCTCCACCTCCAGGGCTCAAGCAATCTTCCCACTCAACCTCCTGAATAGGTGGGACTACAGATGTGTGCCACCACTCCTGGCCAATTTTTAAAATTCTTTTCTAGAGACAAGGTTTCATTATGTTGTCCAGGCTGGTCTCAAGTGATCCTCCCAAAGTACTGGGACTATAGGTGTGAGCCACTATACCTGCCCTAGGAAAAACTATTTTGTTATTTACAAGGTGTTACTGCTAAGCATTGTGATTGATATTCTAATGTGGCTTGCTGAATTAGAAGAGAAGTGGCAGATCATAGCTGGAAGATAAGCAAATATCTTTTTTTTTTTTTTTTGAGACGGAGTTTCACTCATGTTACCCAGGCTGGAGTGCAATGGCGCGATCTCGGCTCACCGCAACCTCCGCCTCCTGGGTTCAGGCAATTCTCCTGCCTCAGCCTCCTGAGTAGCTGGGATTACAGGCACGCGCCACCATGCCCAGCTAATTTTTTGTATTTTTAGTAGAGACGCGGTTTCACCATGTTGGCCAGGATGGTCTCAATCTCTTGACCTTGTGATCCACCCGCCTCGGCCTCCCAAAGTGCTGGGATTACAGGCTTGAGCCACCGCGCCCAGAGATAAGCAAATATCTTAACCTCTGTTACATTTAACATTCAAGGGCAGCTTGTTCTTCTCCTAGCAGGGGAAGAGAACTTAAATCTATGTTAGATATGTGGTATAACAAATGCCCGCTATGAAGATAATATTATTTATGTGAATTTAAATAAATCTGAAAGTGCAACACAAAATATTTCAAAATAAATTTTTGGGGCTAAAAATATCATATGCATGAGTTTTCCAATCAAACCAAAAACTTAGAGGAAAGATAACATTACACTGACAGTTTTCCCATCATCCACAAGATACAAATTTACACAAAGAAATTTATATCTTGTGGGTGATAGGAAAGAAAAGATACTGGCTGTCCTCAGCATCTTTATGAAAATACACTGAGTAGGCATCAGTTGGGCACAGTGCTGAGCAAGGCACTAACGACAACAGTAAGAAATTACAAGGTTTCTATCTGGCGTTAAAAAGAGGGAAATGCTATTAAAAGAAGGAAAATATGTGATGTGTGTATTCATCTGTATTAGCATAGACTACATCTCAAAGTGCATCTATGAAACCAGGGCCTCTGGATAGGAATATTGGGTGGATATTGTGAAAGAAAACATGTACGAGTAAACCATCTATTCTCCTCATGTAAGCAGGAGTCCCATCTATTCTCTTCACATAAGCAGGAGGAGAGCACCTGAGCCCTACTCTGAGGTAGAGCATCATTTATTTGGCCATGGGGTGTGACATTTGAAATTAAGGGGCAGTATCCTGCATGATCTTGAGAAGAAACTAAAAGGCAGGCAGACAATTCAATGGCATAAAAAGAAAAACTAGAGAAAATATTTGCAACAATTATGAAAGACAAAGGTTAATGGCCTTAATATAGTAAAAGGATACACAAAGTATTAAAAAATACACAAGTTCTCTTTGAACAGACATGCGCAAAAACAAGAACTATTACTGTCTAATAAACATGGTAAAAGTAATTTAACCTCAATCAATCATGAAAGAAAGGTAAATCGAATGAATAACAAGATGTAACTTTTTAAACACCATATTAACATATTTTTAAATGATAATGCAACTGCTATACACTCCCATACACATTACTGTACATACCATGCAATGGTATAACCAAAGCAATATGATTAGGTATATCCAGAGACTTAAAAATGTTTATCTCCGGCCGGGCACAGTGGCTGACACCTGTAATCCTAGCACTTTGGGAGGCCGAGGCGGCAGATCACATGAGGTTGGGAGTTTGAGATCAGCCTGACCAACATGGAGAAACCCTGTCTCTAGTAAAAAATACAAAATTAGCCAGGCGTGGTGGTGGATGCCTGTAATCCCAGCTACTCAGGAGGCTGAGACAGGAGAATCGCTTGAACCCAGGAGGCGGAGGTTGTAGTGAGCCGAGATCACGCCATTGCACTCCAGCCTGGGCAACAAGAGTGAAACTCCGTTTCAAAAATAAAAATAAAAATAATAAAAATAAAAAAAGTTCATCTCCTTTGAGTCAATAATTCCCTTTCTAGAAATTAATTCCAAGGAAATAACGAGAAATGGATTAAAAGATTTAGGCAAAAAGATTAAGCTACAGTTATATTTATGTAACTGGGTGCCCAGGCTAGAATTTAGGCCTTAGATTATTATTTAAATCTTAAATAAATTAGGGCTGGGTGTGGTGGCTCACGCCTGTAATCCTACTGTTACCAGAAAGGGGTCCTGATCCAGACCCTATAAGAAGATTCTTGGATATTGGGCAAGAATGAATTCGAGGTAAGTCCATAGAGTAAAGTGAAAGCAAGTTTATTAAGAAAGTAAAGGAATCAAAGAATGGCTACTCCACAGGAAGAACAGCCCCGAGGGCTGCTGGTTGCCCATTTTTATGCCTATTTCTTGCATATTCACAAGGGGTGAATTACTCATAAATTTTCTGGGAAAGGGGTAGGCAATTCCTGAACTAAGGGTTCCTCCCCTTTTTAGATCATATAGGATAAATTCCTGACATTGCCATGGCAAACTGTCGTGGCCCTGGTGGGAGTGTCTTTTAGTGTGCTAATGCATTATAATTCACATATAGTGAGCAGTGAGGATGACCAGAGGTCACTTTTGTTGCCATCTTGGTTCTGGTGGGTTTTGGCTGGCTTCTTACCATAGCCTGTTGTATCAGAGCCGTCTTTTATGACCTGTATTTTGTGCTGACCTCCTATCATCCCATGACTAAGAATGCCTTAACCTTCTGGGAATGCAGCCCAGTGGGTTTCAGCCTTATTTTACCCAGCTCCTATTCAAGATGGAGTTGCTCTGGTTCAAATGCCTCTGACATCAGCAATTTGGGAGGCTGAGGTAGGGGGTCACTTGAGCTCAGGAGTTTGAGACCAGCCTGAGCAACAAGGTGAAACCCTGTCTCTACAAAAGGTATAAATATAATTACAGGTAGTGGGCACCTGTAATTCCAGCTCCTGAAGAGGCTGAGGTGGGAGAATTGCTTGAGCCTGGGAGGCAGAGGTTATAGTGAGCTGAGATTGTGCCACTGTACTCCAGCCTGGGCAAAAAGGGTGAGACCCTGTCTGAAAAGAAAAACAAACAAACAAAAAAAAACTTTAACAAATTAGAATCCTGAAATTATGTCACTTAAAGCAGTTTATTTCTTGGAGCCCTGGATTCACCTTTATGCAGATAAAGAAAATCAAGAAAATCAAGCCAGCCAGTCACTCAGATTTTCTAGAGTCACTTTGTCACTCATCTTTGTTTATGCTTTGTTTTATCTTTACAGACTATAATTGTTTAGAGAAAGTCAACTGAGTCCTCAAGGTACATAATTATAAATCAAGTATCCACCTTATTTTCCATGTTGTTATAACTAGTTCTAATTCAAGAGTCAGTAATTAGTCTGCAATACAGATCTCATAAGGAATCCCCCAAAATGTAATCAAAATGTCCAGGCCTCATCTTCCTGTGACAATAATATAATGTTATTATTGCCTGAATGCATTATTATTATTATTGTTTGTTTATTTATTTATTTTTGAGATGGAATCTCATTCTGTTGCCCAGACTGCAGTGCAGTGGCATGATGTTGGCTCACTGCAACCTCTGTCCCCCAGGCTCAAGCAATTCTCGTGACTCAGCCTCCCGAGTAGCTGGGATTATAGGTGTGCACCACTGCACCTGGCTAATTTTTGTCTTTTTAATAGAGATGGGGTTTTACCATGTTGGCTAGGCTGGTCTTGCTCTCATGACCTCAAGTCATCCGTCTGCCTCAGCCTCCCAAATTGCTGGGATTACAGATGTGACCACCGTGCCCGGCCTTCAAATACGTTATTATCTAATAATTATTGTCCAATTCAATGACTTCAAACTTTTACCTACTGGATTGCGAGAATTTAGCTCCCCTCCCTGACAGTTTCCTCAGTCATTTTCACAAGTTTCACAGGGGCTATCTCAGGTGTGTTCAAGAATGTGCATGCACATATTCCTATTCCCTGGGCTCGTTTCAGGGTGTTGTGCTTCTGTCTCTGACTTCACCTGGATCTAGATGACTGATAGCCTCTCTGCTGTGGCTGTTGCTAATGGGATGAAGAAGGGATGGGGAGGAGAGGACACTATCCATCACTTTTACTAGGAAGTCTCAAGTGTAGAACAGACCCGTCTCTTATTTTCCCATAGCACTGGTGAGATCAGGCGGAAATGTAAACGATATATTGCCACAGAGAGTAATTTGAACTGTTTTGCAGAGCACGGGAAAGAAAGGATAAGCCTTTTTTAGTCAAGGCACTGGGCACTCTAGAGTTAGTACCCCAAGAATACAATACACACTGGCAAGCTGTATAGGGATTCTGGCACTCCAACGGGGTTACAGGGGAACCTAAACACTAAGCAGATTTCATAGACACCTCTTAAGGGTCCTAAGTCTCCACCAGGATCATTTCCATTCCAAAACCACCCCCTTTGGGCACTTCCTCTGAGCCTGGAGAAGTCATGTGTTGGCCTTCTCTGCCTTGAATGCAGTCACAATGGCAGCAGCATGGAAGTTCATATTTGGCTAAATAAGTGAGCTGATTCCCCAGCTTGTCTCCAGCAGCACCACTTTCCCAAAACTCCCTGTCCCAGTCTTACCTCCACAACAATAGAAGGAGATCCAGCCCATTATTTACAAACTGCCAAGTGGTAAATGTTCTCATTTCACTGAGATCTGAGGGGATGCCACAAAACACTACTGTTTTCTGGTTGGGTGGTGCCCCCTCCAATCTTGGTAGCTTTCACATCCTACCCAATGGTACTCTGAAGTGTGGCATCCCTGACTGATACTGGACTGATCCTGAGAACATCTACAAAAATCTTCCCCAAGTTTTTCAGATTATTTGTACTTCCTCCCCAAATTGAAAGTGATATCCTTTCTTTTCCCAAGGTATTAGCTTGGGAGGGGTGCCTTGGTATTATTGTAACTTAAGTCCACATTAAAGTATATCACTAAGGAAAACTTCAGAAATGTTTGGATACAGTTGACCCACACAGGTAACACATGGGTGTTCATTTTATCTCAGGCCCTCCTTTTTTCTAGACCAAGGCTTCTTACTGAAACATACAACCAGGGCCTTTTGTAACTTAGATCCTAAGATTTTTGAAACTTTGATGAGTAAGCTGCTGTAAAAACTGTTGTTTAAAAGCTGAAATTAGTTTTGGTGTTACAGGAGACGGAAGCTTGAAATCAGCTTTTGGATACTTATTTATTTATAGTAATATTAATTTAAAAACTATAAAGTTAACCAAATGCAGATGTCTTAGACTCTGAACCTAAGTGTTTAGTTTGTTTATATAATTTGTTGTACATGATTATTCCTAATAGGCTTGGTTACTTGGAGAAAGTTAGGCTCTTCTATGTTGCAAATCTTTAATTGTTCCTGTGGAGTTGTTACGATCTTGTTTATGTAGTTTTCAGGAGATGAGAAGGTAACACAGAGAGAATTGTAAGAAATATATAAAGTTGCAGTCTTCCTCTCCTGGTAGAAGAGGGACTGGACTTTATACATTAGACTGGAGTTGGACAGGAAATATTCTTGACAGTGCTTCTTGGTGTTTTGAATATTAGAATCATTTGAATTAGCATAAGGTAAAGAGTCAACTTATTTATAAAGATTCAGAAGAATCAGCCAGGTGTGGTGGCTCAAACCTGTGATCCCAGCACTTTGGCAGGCAGAGGTGGGCAGATCGCTTGAGCTCAGGATTTCGAGACCAGCCTGGGCAATGTGGTGAAATCCCATCTCCACCAAAAATACAAAAAATTAGCTGGGTGTGGTGGTGCGCAACTGTGGTTCCAGATATTCAGGAGGCTGAACTGGGAGGATCACTTGAGCCTGGGAGGCACAGGGCAGTAAGCAGAGATCATGCTATTGCACTCCAGCCTGGGTTACAGAGTGAGATCCCATCTCAAAGAAAAAGATAAAGACAAAAAAAAAAAAAAAAAAAAAAAAAAAAAAAAAAAAAAAAAAAAAAAAAAAAAAAAAAAAAAAAAAAAAAAAAAGATTCAGAAGAATCACACAGACTCCCAAGGCAGGAAGTTCACTGGACCTTAGAAGATTCCAGGGGAGGCTGGGATCTCAGATAAAGAAAATCAAGCCAGCCAGTCACTCGGATTTTCTAGAGTCACTCTGTCACTCATCTTTGTTTATACTTTGTTTTTATCTCTACAGCTCAGTTTTTCCTGTTTATTAGTGTGTAAATGCCTAAAAGGTGATACCCTGGTCAAATTTTACATCTTCTCAGTTCAAGCAAGCAAAAGAAGAAATCCAGATTTCCAAGTGTAAGAATAAAATTGTTGCAGCATGGGTCAGGTTCCTTTCCTTAGTCCAGTTTGCTATAGTCAGAGGGCCCAGAGCTAGAGACAAAGGCTGCTGGAGCCCATGGAGGACTGTGGACTAAATACCACAAAGGATGCCCGTTACCCTGGGCTTCATACAGCTCAATCTGGGCTTATGTTCTGGCTGGCTACATATACTGCTAATTCTGAATAATCCAGTCTTCAGAAAATGTGCAGCTTGTGAATTATTATGTTTTAATGTGGCTCACTTGTTGGGGGCCACAAAGGAACTTAACCTCTGTGGGTAGGGGTGTGGTTTCTCTTAATGGAAATTCCTGTAATTCATTGTATTACTAAATGGCAGGTTCTAGAGAACAAAATGAAACAACGAGGCAGATATTAGACCAGATAAGCTTGATACATAATTTCTGCTCTCTGGGTTACTCAGCAGCTGGGCTTGGATTCTTAGGCATGTAAGTGGTTAGAGAACTTTCAGTGGTGGGGGCGACTGATCCCCTGTCATTGGGACAGAAAAAGAAGCTAGACAAGGAGTCACCTTATAAAGGACACTGAAGATATTCCTGGGTCTCTGGTAGCTCAGAAAAGCTACAATTACTTGTAAGTTACCTTCTAAATATTCAGTAAAATATTGCTGGGGAAGTCAAAGGAAGAAACTGATCCATCGTAGGGATGTGGTAGCAAAAAAGTAAGGTTGAGCATGTCCCTCCTGCTCTCTTACCAACATCCAGTCCACAGTGGGAAAGCCAAGGAGAAGACACCTAGATCCAAGACATGGAAGAAGGAGAGGTGTGGCTCTTGGATAAGGGCATTGGAGCAACTTGAACAAATATGAGATAGGACTTTGTGGGGACTCTCAGAATAAAAAAAAAGGGAGACATTTTGTGGTAAGTTCCTGCAGTTTGATAAATTGGGGCTTGAAATCATTATAATATGGGAATTAAAGTAAATGTGGCTGGGTGCAGTGGCTCATGCCTGTAATCCCAGCACTTTGAGAGGCCAAGGTGGGCGGATCACCTGAGGTCAGGTCACTGACCAGCCTGGCCAACATGGTGAAACCCCGTCTTTACTAAAAGAAATACAAAAATTAGCCAGGTGTGGTGGCATGCGCCTGTAATCCCAGCTACTCAGGAGGCTGAGGCAGGAGAATCACTTGGACCCAGGAGGCAGAGGCTGCAGTGAACCTAGATTGTGCTGTTGTACTCCAGCCTGGGTGACAGAGTGAGATTCCCTCTCAAACAAATAATAATAATACAATAAATAAAGTAAACATGACTTCATTTTGTAGTCATAGGCTGACAAGGCCTGTACATGCCAGATACAGCTGAAAGTGAAAGACAAATGGAACTAAGCAATGGGTAAATCATTAAGCAAAATATACTAATAGGATAGAATATTTTGTAGCCATTGAAAATAATATTTACAACAGATATCTGAGGAAATCAAATCATATATTCTTAAGAAAAAAACCCATATGACATCTAGTATCATATCTACTATGTACAGAGGGTAGAAAAATAAAATATTAACAATGGTTTCCATGGGGGGGGGTAAAAAAAAAGGTTTCCTCTAAGTAGTGGGATTATGGCTGATTTTCTTCCTGCTTCTTTGTTCTTTTGTAGTCTTCAATACTTATGTTGAATGTGTATTACTTTTAGAATTAGAAACAAGAAAAAGGTTTAATCTGTTTTGTCATTGGTCACACCTTTTATATGCTAGTTTATATCTAAATCAATGCACACAGGAGTATTTGAATATTATCTTCATTTTAACAATCATAGTAAAGAAATTCCAAGCAAAAAGGATGCCACGTAGCAAGCTCTGCTCCATCCTCCTTTGTCCGTATATCCTTCTCTATGAGTCTATCTGGCTTTCTTAAGGGAAGGTCCCTCACTGGACTAACCACACTCTTCCTTTTCTCTTCTTCATGCAGATTATCTCCAATATTCCAGGGCCTTCTTTCTCATCTCTATCTTCACCATACTCATTGGCCTTGGCTGGCTCTTCAGCTCTTGCCTCCCTAGTAGAGGAAGCATGACCACCAACTTGGATTTGAAGGTATCCATGCTCAGCTTCATCTCAGGTACAGACCAAGACTGGCAGGGAATACCATGGTAAAATAGTCAAGGTAACAAAGTTTCTCCATGGAACTCTCATACTCTTTTTCTTATCTCTTTGCTCTTCTTCAGTATCATGTCAACTTGCCAGCTACCTGCCTTATCTAATTATATAGAACACATCTTAGCTGACTTTACCAGGGTATAAATCCCATTCTCTCATCTTGGTCAATCCCCAAGTTTTTATCTTTTTGATCCTTGCCATACTTCTGGCCTCCAGAGGCCAAAGAGCTGGGTGGTGGCAGGGAAGGCAGACTGAAGATGCTGATGGATTATGACATCTTTCCTTCTGGTCCTAGCTACCTGCTTGCTCCTCTGTCTCAACCTGTTTGTGGCACAGGTTCACTGGCATACTAGGGATGCCATGGAGTCAGATCTCCTATGGACCTATTATCTTAACTGGTGCAGTGACTTCTGTTACACGTTTGCTGGTGAGTCACTCCCCTGCTCTATGCTAGAAGGATGGATAGGGAAATCACTTCTGGAAAGGGAGGCATAATCTAGGAGAAATAGAAACACTGACTATTCATTTTCAGAACACTGATACTTGGAGGGTCAGTATGGTGTAACGAAGGAAGGGTGAATTTTGGAGTGTGAAAACCTAGCATTAGCAACTTGTTATATCACAAAGTGAGGCATGGACAAGTTGAGAAACTTGGCCAAGACCACACAGAAAATAGTGGAACAGAAATCAGAATCTAGGAGGTTCAAGCTTTGTCCTAACCAGTCTGAGAAATACTATAATGCAATTGGAGCACAGGAGGGTAAAGTAACTGTGCTGAGGGAGAGAAGGGTTCACTGAAAAGATGCCTCTTAAACTGGTTATTAAAGGATGGGTAAGAATTTTAAAAGCCAAAAGACCATTGCCTACTGAACCTCACCTCAAATTATTCTCTTCCCCTAGGGATTGTCTTTCTTCTCAACTACTTTACTTCCAGATCTCCTACCCGTGATCAAAGTATCACTGTGATTCCAACAGAGATATCAAGGCTGGGGTTTGGTCCAGTGACTACAGTATCACCTGCTAAAAATGAAGGGCCAAGGTCTAAGATGAAATCTCTAAATGTGAAACAGAAAAATTTACCAAAGGCAGGACTGTGATGGTGATAGGAAAACCGAACTATTGCTTGTCTTAAAAGCAGGGGAGAAGCTGAGTTGGGAATGATTGCATAAATTCTTGGAAACCCTCTTAATATCATGTCCATATTTCTGGAGAAGACAGCATTAAAGCTAATGAAATGTCTTTTGTGTGCATTGGGCCAAAAATATATATGATAGTCACAAAGTAAGTAATAACTCATTTAAGAAAAATATTTCTTAAAAAAAAA